ATCTAAATTCAGTTGACTTGCCCCAAAAAAAAAAAAAAAAAAAGGGAAAGTTCTATAACTTTTACAACAAAAAATCAGGCCATAGTAGTTCTCGTAGAAGACAACGAAAATGTCAACAAAACTAGAGAAATATAAAACTAGAGGAACATGTACATTCGGACTTTCCCAAGAACTTATGTCCATCCCACCCTCAGAAATATGAATTTATACGTAATAATATGGCAACCTTTAATCATTTAATTACATAGACTTGTTCGTATTCATATTTCATAAATATATGTGTATGTATCTATATATGTATACAACTGTACATGTGTGTCCATGTAGACGAAATTAACTACTGGACTTTGAAACATCTATATGTTATCATAACATATAGAGATCACAGAAAAAAAAAACAGATGGGAAACGTAGAACTGAAACAAGAAAATTAATGCGAAATTAAGCTCTCGTTAATGTCGTTTTGGTCGTCCTCTACATGTGCAGAGCCCAAGCTATGGCGACTGCGTCTCCAACTGTAACTGTTAAGACTCTTATTAAGTTACTAATATTTTTGTTAATAATGGGATTTTAAATACGGAACCGTCCAATCAAGTGTGTTAATCCCAAGAAAGTTTAATTGCTATTTTTCCAAGCCTTGCTTGTATTACAATCTAATATCCCATAATTATATTATTTATTATTTTCTCGGGATCGTTCATTGCATTCAATAGTGCATTTACAAGTTTCAAACTAGCAGGCGGAATATTAATCCAACGCGTGGATAGAGCAAGTGTACTCTACAATCAAATACTAAGCAAAAATTAGCTTATACAATAAAAACTTTTGTTTTTCAAAAATCAAAAAAAAAAAAAGAAAAAAGAAAGGAAATTAAACAGTTTGGTACAAAATATTCTCTATAATAATTTTTTTTGGTAGTAAAAATATATATTTTTTACATAGTTACTTTTTGTAGTAAATATTATTTGTATTTACTACAAAACCATTTCATAGAAGTTCATTAATATCTTTTTTTATAAAGCAAATCGACACCCATTCTTGAATAATTCATGTCACTTATGCTTCAATTGTAATATAAGATTTTTTAATTATCTTATGGTTTTTATTTTTATAATATATTTTGCATTGTGGACTTTTTATTTATTTTTTGTTTGAAGGGTAAATACCATGTTTGATTGGTTAATTTTTTTAAGAATGGTTTTTATAAAAAGAAAAACGAAAAAAAAGTATTTGAAAGTTTGCAAAAGCTTCAGTAATAAATTATTAATAAGGGGCTATGGACTACTCCTAGCTAGATTGTTAAACATTTTTCAAGTAAATGGGGGTAAAACGTGAAAGATTTTTTACATTTACGAATGTTTGAGTTGTATAAAACTGAAAAATTAAGTATCAATTTTTTTTAAGAATTAGTCAATTATAATTTATAAATTAAACACGAGAAAGATTTTTTACATTTACGAATGTTTGAGTTGTATAAAACTGAAAAATTAAGTACCAATTTTTTTAAGAATTAGTCAAGTATAATTTATAAATTAATATATATATATATATATATATATAATTTATATTTGTATAAATTTTAAGTGTTCAATATCCACCAACAAATGAAATTTATTTCACTTATGTTAAAAAAAATATATAATAAATAGATGCGATACAAAGCAAGGGTTGTATAATTCAACCTTTATAATGTATATTTTTATTCATAGATGCGATACGCTACTAACCCTTGATATCAGATAAAAAAAAAAATTACATGTCAAGTTTTATTTATACGTTAGTTTTTTTTTTTTTTTTTTTTCAACTATGGTAGTGTCGGGCCTCTTAAATCATCCCATAATCACCAAACAAATATTATTCCCTCATCTCCACATACAATTGGGTAATTAATAAAATATATATATATATATATTTGAGAGTTGCACCGTGAGATGAAAATCTTTATGATTAGCTCTATTAATGTTACTCATAAGGTAGTTAACTTAGAGGATCTGGTCGAATTTTGTTACGCCCCCTTTGTTCTTGCCAACTCTCCTTCAATGTCTTTGAGATCTTAATTATTGTTTTAAAGCCACAAAGTTGAATGATGGGATGTGAACTTTACCTTCGAAATTCGAATAGTTGTCATCTAAAAATATATATTAAAATTGTAATAGAATTTGATCTTTTCAAAGAACTTATTACTTATCTATTCGATCAAATTCTTTTGAATTTAAACATGTGAAATTGCATGCTTAAGAGTACTCTCAGCATACATTTTTGTTATCATTAATTCTTATAAGCATATACCGAAAAAGAAAATTCTTACAAAGAGATGTCACGGTTAAGAATTATGGCTCATATTTCTTAGTTTCTATTTTAAAAGTTGTTTTATTTGGTAATTTTTTTTAAGGCAAGTTTTGCAGCTTTCAAGTAAGGTAAATCTTGGCCACTAAAGAATTGCATCTACCAAGAAATTGGGTGAATAGCCTTGTGGTGTAGTGGTATCTCTTCTACCATCTAAAGTGAATGGTGAATGTTTGAGTCTTCCAAAGGAGCAAAGTGGGTGTATGAGTGAAAAAAAGTATCCACTAAGGAATTGGGGTGCGACTGACTCTATAACCTACGATATTATTGAGAGGTACAAGTGGATAGATATGGAGCTCATGAGGGAGTGAGTTGTGAGTTAATGGGAAGACAGTATTAGGTTTGGCATACCAGTGAACACTGAAGATGAGAGGGTGTCGTAGCGAGAGGGCATATTGCAGTACACAATGTAAGGCTTGGGTGTCTTATCTTCTACCTGGCGTGGCAGCAAATTACACAGAGAAAGTCTAGGAAATAGTACAGGGAGTGAGTTGTGAGTTAATGGGTAGAGAGTATTAGGTTTGACAGACTAGTAAACACTGAAGATGAGAGGGTGTCTCGTACTGAGAGGGGCGTCTCGCTTGGGTGTTTTATCCTCTAGCTGGCATAGCGGCAAATTACATAGAGAAAGTATAGGAAAGAGTATCCATGGAATTAAGTAATCCAGAATTTGGGCGAACCATGTAAATCCTATGTTGTGTGATGTTTTGTGGAAGCTTTATTGTATGTGTGGTAGGATCTTCATATGGTCTTGTTGGTAAGAACTGTGTGCATTCTACCAAAGTGCAACCGGTTTTACTTAAGTTGAACCAGTTACACTTGCCAAGTTCGGGAGTGTCGCGTTATCTCCAACAACCACAAGAGCATTTAAAAGTGATCTCATATTTTAGGGGTTGATGGGGAGTTCGGAATCTCTCTGAATCAGTCTCACCATCAATTTTGTTAATTTGTCATTTTTGTTGAGGGTTTTTGTGTGTTCGTCCAAGTGAGTCTCCTCTTGGACTGACCTGCATGCTTAGGACCTTGTATCATCACCGGACTGACTTCCACAGTCTTGTACTGACCCCTCATGGACCCAGCATCCTCGTTGAATTAACCATCCCGACGTGTAAATATTCTCCATTTTTCACAAGCCTACAAAATTATAAGGCATATGTGTATTCACGGTTTTCAAAATACATCTACACAATTAAAAGACATTCACACACACATATATATACGTGCCAACAACCTCTTCCTCAGGCAATATGGGAAGCTACAATAACAAATCAGCTTGAATTAATCAAATCCAAATAATATGCCGGGCTAGATTGATGCAGTTTAAGGCCTAAAGCGAAATCGCTAAACTAGGCCTTCTCACATTGATTATAACAAAAATTTCTCTCTACTTAACTTAATATAAGTTCAAGGAATAATAAAAAAATCTTTTTACATTTTCTACAGTAATAAATAGTGATTTAATTGTGTTAAAAATTTACACGAGAGATAGAGTCAATAAATGTTGAGAGAAAAATTAGGTAATTAAGAGAGTTGTTGAGTCGTTGTATTTATCTCCTAATTAATCCAATACACAAAACAAAAATAATTTATTAATATATATATAACCAATATAAACGAATATTTTAGTGGCAGTAGAGATATATTTATTTGGTAATTAATATAATACACAGAAAAATAATTAACTAATACAGTGATGGGCCTCTTCTTCTACTGGGGGCTTTAGGCCACCGCCTTAATTTTTTATAGTTGCTGCTGATAATATGAACTTGAGCTTTATTAAGTCTACAATTTTAAGTTTAGATTAACCTTGACCAGATTAATTATTAAATGTGTTCATTTAGGTTGTTGAGCCTAAATCACAAGTTTGGTTCTAACTTTTTGTTGCGCACCCTAGTGAGGCCAAGATCAAAGTCTAATCGATTGCAATTGAAGAAATATCATGGATCACTGAAACTAATGTAAGTTTCGATCGAAACCTGAAAATTCTTCGATCAATTGCCAGTCAAGGAGACTTTGATCGCACATCATCAAGAAACTTGAAATTTGTTTCCTTATTAGAGTTTTCTTATCCTAAAAGTGTTTTCATATAAATAGGTTTTGTATAAACCCTAGTTTGTGTGTGTGTGGGGTGCGAGATAACCAAAGACGGAGAGAGTGAAATTGTTTTATCTTGATGGCCTTGTTTTGATTTTATTCTCAAACACCGTCCAACCCATCTGAGTTGTACCGATCAAGGTACAAAGACAACCATACTTTTATGATCCTGTAAATGCATCGAGTGTTATATTGTTCATGTCTTTTAATATATATAACATCATCGGTTCGTCACCTATAACAGGCGAGTGTACTCCCACGCACCTAGAGTGCGCGTAGAGGTAGCCAAAACGCAGCTAGTTGAACCAGTGTAAAATTTTCATTCTAGTCTCATTTCTATGCCTTGCTTTTTACGATATCTTTAAGCTTACCCGCCGGCGTCGTCACCGGCCGTCAACGATCTCACACCTCGTTGACACCCACATCAGATATATATACCTTTCACAGTAGCCTCCCGCGTAGAACTTGATGATTAATGCTCAACCTTTCAACACATATCTAGAGAGAGAGTTGAGAGTGTAGTTAATTAGTTTGTTTTGGAACGTCCATAGGTGGTGGTGATGGCTTCATCAAGTAGTGGTGGTGTTCCACCGGGGTTCCGGTTCCACCCGACCGACGAAGAGCTTCTTCATTACTACTTGAAGAAGAAGATTACATTTCAAAAGTTTGACATGGAGGTGATAAGAGAGGTGGATTTGAACAAGATAGAGCCATGGGACCTGCAAGGTATATAATTAAGTTTAAATGCATAGTCCTGTGTATATATATGTGTGTGTGTGTGTCCTTCCTGTGATTGAGCTTGGCTTATATGTTATTTGTGATGAATTTATAATTATACTGTTTTTTAACTTAATTTTTTGTTGGGAGTAATCATGGCTCTTAGACCATGTCTTGGATTGCTTTTGAGCAAGATAAAAGTGCTTACAATTTGAAAATTTTCTTAATATATTGATTTTGATACAAATGTTTCATTCTTTATCCCCTGACCCAAATTATAAATGAGTAATGCTAGAGTTTGTTTAATTAGGGTTTAACGAAGCAATTTGATAAATAATTGATGGGTAAAAATAGTATTTTATATTTATGGAACAGTTTTTTTTTTTTTTTGGTTTCTCCCTCCTCTCTTCCCTTCAATTTTAGAGGGATGAAAAAACACTCTTTTTTTTGCGGTAAATTGCTTTATCCCTCCTTGCCTCCTCCCTCTCCTCTTTTCTTTCCGACCATTACACCTCCTTGCCTCCTCCCTCTCTTTTTTCTTTCTGACCAAACGATAGAAGCATCTTTCATCATTCCTCTCTTCTGAACTTTCATTATATTATGCCTCCACTTTTAATTTGGCCTTTTCTTGTCAGTAAAATTAAATTTACCAAAACTATAAATTCAATTGAATTGAAACCTTTCATAATGTTATTCCCCTGCTTTTACTTCTCCAAAATAAATTCAATTGAAAATGGGGGTATTACTGCTAGAGAGAGGAAATCAGCGAGAGGGGGATCAAGAGAGACATATATAAAAAAATCGAGTAATTACTAAAGATGATGATTTAATAGAATAAAACAAGATAGATAAGACAAAAGATCGAGCAACAAGCTCTTGACAAGTTTCTTATAGTACTATAAGAAGTAATAATTTTGTGTGAATAATATCAAAAGTTAGGTCTGTATCGAGCACCTTTGATTTATATATCAGATAAGTCATAACGTAACGTAATGTATGGTATCAAAACATTAATGACATTGAGATTGATGAAATAAGAAATGACAAACTCATAAAGGAATACCCTGCATGTTGAAGGGAAGAACAAAATTAGCAATGGAATTTGATCAACAAAAGATATGATAGTGTGTGATTTTAGTGGTCTTAAACTTGGAATATAATAGCAAAATGGATTCATGTAACCAATCCAAACAGTTTTGCTGCATCATGCATATCTTTAAGTGAACGAATTCTTTAAGTACTGTTTCATTGTCTTCTTGCATGTACAGAGAGATGCAGGATTGGATCGACGCCTCAGAATGAATGGTACTTCTTCAGCCACAAGGACAGGAAGTATCCCACAGGGTCAAGGACAAATAGGGCGACGAATGCCGGGTTCTGGAAGGCAACAGGGAGAGACAAATGCATACGAAACACCTTCAAGAAGATTGGTATGAGGAAAACTCTTGTTTTCTACCGAGGAAGAGCTCCCCACGGCCAGAAGAGTGACTGGATCATGCACGAGTATAGGCTTGAAGATGGTGATGATCCTCAAGGAAACAACACTGTAAGATATACATAAAAAATGATCAATAAGTTTTATTTCTTGAGCTTTTAGAACATTAATTTGGATTCAAACTGAACATGTAAGCTTTTCGTATGAACGCGAACAAAAACTATCAAGTACACCTAAGAGTGTCTGCACAATCTTTAAGTGACATAAAAATGTTTCAGAGTCATCATACTGTGGGCATGAATTCAATTCTTTTAAATGAGTATTTTTTCTATAAATATTTTTTTACTTTTATAATACTTTATGGATTATATCCTATATTGGTTGTAGGATGTGACCCCTTTTGGTATAACACAATCATCAAATGAAGGTCCATGGATGTTCTTATTACTATTAATGAAATGCTGGTTTTTGTCAAATTAGTGTAAACAGTTATAGCAAACACTTTTCACATTTGTATATTAATTACTTTGATAAAAACCAATTTTGCATTCACACTACAAAAATAAGAACATCCAAAAAGCTCAGTCATACACCAAGGCAAGCATGCATGTCTTTTACCCTACCACAACAAACTCATTGTTAAAAGTTTGAGGAATATATATTTACTCTATGAGGGAAACATTTGGTAGTTAAGAGAAAAAATTAAATAAAATCAAAGATGGTTTTAATCAGTTATATCTTATCACACAAGTAAAAATGCTTTACGTCTTCATCGGATCTTATAACTATATGTCAGTATTTAATCAGTTGGTAATTCTATATCTTCAAATATTTCAGGAGCATTATAGTATTTTTCGTTTTAATGGGATGTAATTTTTTCTTTATTTGTATTATTTGTGTAGGAAGATGGCTGGGTAGTTTGCAGGGTGTTCAAGAAGAAGAATTTATTCAAAGTTGGACATGGAAATGGAGGAGGAGCTAGCATGGCCTCTGATCAGCTCAACAACACATCAAACACCAATCAACTGCGTACCCTCATGCACAGGGACAGCCAATATCTAATGCGTCCACAACACACCCATGGCAACCAACAAGCCTTTGATCTCTACAAGTCCGATCTTGCCTTAAACTATTCTCACCTCCCTGCAGTGCCATCATATCCACACACCCACAAGCCAATGGGCTACCATGACTTCTCTACTCTCCCTTCCGACTCCCCGCTAATGGTGAAGCAACTCATGACAAACCCTAGAGACTGCGAAAGTGCAGGCAGCGAGAGCCTCCGGTACCAAGCTTGTGAGCAAGGAATGGATGTTGGGACATGTGAGCCTTCTCAAAATATGGTTGCAGCTGCAAGAGATGAGAGTTTGAATGAATGGGGCATGTTGGATAGGCTTGTGACTACTCATCTAGGTCATGAAGACTCGGCCAAAGGCGGTGGGAGGTTTGAGGATGCAAATGCATCTTCCATGCACCAGATTAATCAGCTCTCACTCCGGGGAGAGATGGACTTTTGGGGCTATGGAAGATAGTGGGTGTTTTCTATATGTGGTTTGATTTGAACCAAGTGATGATCATCTATTGATTGGAGTTGGCATATATAGCGGCTGACTATATGAAAAACTGAGTATATTAATTAAAGTGATTATAAAGCATTAATCACGATTTGTTGCATAGTATTTGGTTTGATTGATTTCAACTTGTTGGAGGTGGTGTAACTATTTCTCTCATATATCATAGTGATTGTGTGCAAATTACAGTTGAAGGCGGCCAAGGATCTCTCCCTCTCTATCTCTCTCTCTCTCTCTCTCTCACACACACACACACACACACACACACACACACTCTTGACACACTTGTTTTCCATGAATCACTGAATGACATGATCAATATCTATACATCTATTGCGCCAAGGTGTGTATAGTTTTCCTTTGGTGTCTTCTAGACTCAAGGAAGTGGCTTGCAAGTCTCTTTGTCGACAAAATTTTCACAAAAATTTGTAAAATCTTGAAATTCATGCATAAACCTTAAATTTTGCTTAAATCTTAAATTTGTAAATTTTTGTGCGAAGAATTTTTGAAACCACTGAAGTGCGACTAATTGGGAAAGATCGAAGAGAGATTAATGGAATTTGTTCATTGATATAAGGGCTGGATAGGGAGTTAAAATCTTGTTACCTCTGCCTCTTTGAGAATGAGTCCCTTGATCTTATGTTCTTTAGATGCAAATACTCTGCGGTTATGCTTAGCTGTACAGAATTAGAATTAGTGGAATTAAAGAAAATTTTGGTGTAAACTTGAACTAAACTTTTCTCCGGTTCCACCAATTTCAATTCTATGCAGCCGGATATAACATATATGGTGATTGGTGCTCCAACAATCGGTACTCAAAGCAGTTTCTGCTGCACAAGCTTCTTTTTATCTTCATCTGGCTGCAAAGAAATGCTAGCTAGGGCTTCCAGGAACAGGTCTTCTTCCTCTTCTATTATGCTGAGAAAAAGCTGACTTGAGGCAAATTAAGAGTTTGGATGACCTGAAGCATCTTTTCACGCAGGGCTGCTCAATGGTGGGAGGACTGATCTAGGCCATCTTTGGTTATCTCATTGTTATTTTGGTGTTAATTAATTAATGATTGTTGTATTTAGTTGTTTGTTTGCATCTCATGTGATGCTTCAAGTTTGCATCTTGTGATGCTTTTGGTGCTCTCTTTTTGTTTTGCCAGTATGGACTCGCAAGTATATTCTATTTCACTATTACATGCTTACCCTTTTAACCAAAAGATAAAAAAGACTGGTGTGATTTTCTAAATGTTATATTTTCAAATGCAAAGACTAATTTGATCGTATAACTGAAAATTATACTATTTTTTCACTCTCTTTTTTTTTTTCTTCTTTTTTCTTTTTAATTGTCGAACGATAAAATATTTCATTTTATAAATAAAGGTCAATTTTTTTATTTTTTATTTTTTATTTTGTATAAAATATCAATATTTTTTTTGAGTTATTCAAGAAGAAATTGAAATAATGAAATGTAAATAAAATAAACAGAGAATTAACATTAATGTCTATATTAGTAACATATCAATAGTCACGTGGCTCATTGGTTAAGGGGTCTCAAGAGATGAGCCATAAATTCTTCCTGAATTCGACGTGATTCATTATTGCTTAATGATCAAAACTGATCTTTTGATAAACCAACCAAAACTAATCTTTGCAATTCAATGCATGATTTTCTCAAAAAAATTTCATTCAAATTCAATTCATGACTTCCTTTAAAAAGCCACTTTTCAAGCTTTCAAAGCAAAGCAAAATTTTTTTTAAAAAAATTGTAAAATTTCAAGAATAAACTCTCTCAAAATTTCTTAAAGTATTGAAATTCAAAACCTTTACACTTTGAACATTTCGAAGTGTACAAACAACTTCAAAGAAAAATCACTAAAAAGCTAGTAATTATTTATTTTTTTTTAAAAAAAAGCATATCAAATGTTCTAGATTTTATCAGAGCGGAATTCAAGTTTTTTTTTTTTTTTTTGAATGGTAAATTCAATTGTATTTAGTAGAAACCCAAAAAAGAGAAACAAGGCCTTAGGCCCAAGCACATGCAAATACAGCCCATACAGCAGCCCAGCAAAATTACAAAAAGTCTGAGTAACAGAACTGCATTTCAAGTGAAAGCGCAGTAGCAAACCACCATTGATGATTTTGTTCCGCAATTGGTGGCCGTCAGTGATCTAGTCTGGCGGCATGGGAGGGGGACGAATGAAAGAGCCAGGAAGCACCCATTCATCTGAGATAGCTTTTGCCTTACAGTGGTGAGTATTCGATCAAGCAAAGCATTTGCAGTGATTAAAGAACCTTTGAAGTATCTTCGATTCCTTTCCATCCAGATGTTATATACCAAAGCTGATAGACACAAGGAAGTGATTTGCAAGTCTCTTTGTCGACAAAATTCCCATAAAAATCGGGTAAAATCTTGAAATTCATGCATAAACCTTAAATTTTGCTTAAATCTTAAATTTGTAAATTTTTATGCAAGAAATTTTGAACCCACTAAAGTGTAACAAATTGGTAAAGATCGAAGAGAGATTAATGGAAATTATTCAATATTGAAATTAGAGCATGCTAGAGAGGTAAACTCCTGTTACTTCTGGCTATGAGAATGAGTCCCTTGATCATATGTTATTCAAATGCAAATACTCTGCGGCTATGTTCAGCTGCACGGAATGGATCTTGGAATTGGAGTTGGTGGAATTGAAGAAAATTTTGGTATAAATTTGAATTAAAATTTTCTTCGATTCTAACAATTTCAAATCCATGCAGTCTAACATAGCCTACTAAAATTTGGGGTTTTGTTCAGCAAGTTTCTATATCTTAGCAAAGACTTGGTCATTTGGTTGGTCTGATCTTATAGCATAGTGGTCTAACAATCGATACTCAAAGCAGTTTATGCTGCACAAGCTTCTTTTATCTGCAGCCATATACTTCATCTGGCTTGAAAGAAATGCTAGGACTTTCAGGAATAGGTCTATCTTCTTCCTTTTCTCATACTATCAAGTTAATCAAAAGGGGGTTTTACATATAAATGGGCTTAGGGCTCCATATTTATTAAGTGGCTGAGTCAAAGTTCCGTAATTTTAAGAAAATGAGATTGACTGAAAAGATGACATGGTGTTTAAAATATTGTGTGGTGTAAAATATCCTTCTCCCTATTCCAACACATTTACCTTATTGCTCCTTTTTATTTACTCACCCAATCTAAGCATATCTGGCCAATAAACCCTCATTCTTGCATTAAAATATCAGAGAAGCGCCATCTCTCTCTCTCTAACAGGGAAGCAATATTTGTGGCAGCCCATTCTTTGTTTCTCTAATAGGAGAACAAGGAGTGTAACGACCTGAACCCGGGGTTCGAATCATTAACCGGGTCCTTACCCGAACCCGAGAATGCTCAAGGGTAAAACAGTCAACTAATGCATGGAAATGAATAATATGACTTTAAATGAATCATAATAGGTCAACATAAGTCATAATGGTCATTTGAACCCATGTCACTAGGTTCTAGACATAAGAATAAGGATTTCACACAATTAACCCCTTCGATTTTAAAGATTTCCAGAGCAGTCCACACTAAAAAAATAATAACTCTCTCTACGATTGGAAATTTTTGATGTGGTTGATACAATTGAAAATTTGACTCAAAAACCTTGAGAATGGACTCAAATTTGACCCAATTTGGAGTTAAAATGAGTGAGATATGATCATTTGAAGTCAGGGGTTCAAAATTGTCTCTATTTTTATTTCGGCAGACTCTGAAGGCTATAACGGTTGATCGAAATTATCCATTGGTCGACCAAAATGACATACCGATCTTCCAATTGTGGCTTTGTTGTTTTTCAAGCTATTGGTTTTGGTCCCAAAAGATAACGGTCAACCGAAATGGCTTACCGGTCAACCGAAATAGCCCACAAATGTGAGATTTGCCCTGTTTAAGTGCCTAAACAACTTGGCATCCTTATAACTTCACTTTTGACTTCCAATATGGTTAAAACCTTCCCCGTACCATCCATACATCAAGACAAGATCAAATTACATTTTCGCATGTTGAGATAAATTCGTTTACATTGAATTTGAATACTTGAGACAACAATACATAAACTTTACAAATGTACATCCTAATACAATATGGCAGAAAAAGAACATCCATTATAGCCCCGTCTATGCCCGTGGAGGATCGACATGCACCAACTTTTCCCCACAACTTAAAAAATGTAGAGGAATGAGCACAATGGCTCAGTAGAGATTGCCTAAGTGGCATCTATTGACGCTAAAATCGGCTCCTAAGATCCGATTCGGAATTGATATAATGCGGGCGTGCCAGAACCAATATTGTGGTTCAAGTGTGAGTTGTCAACGTAAGTCTCTTTGGGAAGGTTAACTTTCAAGCGATGCGAGGATAAAGAGAACAGTAAAACTCCTCTTCGAGTTAAAGAATTATCTTAATTAAAAGGACTTTTAATTGAATAAATTATAGTAATAATTGAGAGAATAGAAAGAGGAGAGTAATGGATATAAAAAGAAATATAGAGAGAAAGATTGAAAGAGAGATAGAATGAGATATTGAGAGAGATAGATAGAGATAGAGAAGAAATAGTAAGGATTCTATTCTAAGAAAGGCTTGAGAAAGCAAACAAATAAATTAAAGGATTCTGAGGGTGCTGGACCTCTATCTCAACATGCCTCCTTGATTATTTATAAAATAAAACATAGAAACAAATTCCTGTATGCAAGTATTTTACTTACATTACAACTCTATCACTTAATCAACTATTAATTTAAATTAAACTAATCCTAGAGATAAACATAAATATTTAATTAAAACCAACTAACAGATAAATACTAGCACTTGATCCCTATCCATTAATTAATTCAAAGCTTCTCCAATCTTCCACATTTGCATGCAGTTTCTGTTACCTTTTCCTCGTGTCAATTTATACCCAAATTAGTTGTCATGTCATTAATACAAAATTTACCAAA